GACAGCAGTTCAACTTTGGATCTCGGGCGGGCTCGAACCGCCGGCCTTCTGTGTGTTAGACAGATGTGATAACCACTACACCACGAGATCTCGACAGCAGTTCAACTTTGGACTCGTTCCAACCACCAGGACTCTTAATTTCTCCACCTGACCCACCAGGATCAACTGAATTCACACGCAGCAGTTCGTTGCGCGAATCGCTAGTAGCGAATCGCGCGATTCGCAAAGTCTAACATCGGCCTCTTGTTGAGCTTACGAAATTATCTTCCCACTAATAAATATGCAGTGCTCAAATTCTCAGCAATCAGCTGGTATTGTTCACTGCTCAGTGCTGTTTTGGCTCACGGCCTATTCATTTTGTAGTGCATAAGAGCGAGATGTTTAGACCGGCTATACTCGGTATTTCGTATTTATAAATTTTCTGTGAGCACAGTACGAAATAAATAACAGTCATTAATCATAACAACAACATAACAACGACAGGAGGAAACAGGCTTTTTTTAAGATCACCGTCTACTCTTTGCCTTTTGAAGCTTCTTCTTTTTCATGGCTTTGTTCTTCTTGCTGAGCTTATTCTTCATGCTGCAAATGGTTCATATATAATATCATGTCCTAATTATGTATTCGAGCAGACAATGCCGGGTGAAACTCCAGTTCGGGGGGGGGGCACTCCATTGCTATCTTATCCGTAGTACTAGAGAGCAGTTCTTTGGGCTATCGAACACTACGGATAAGATAATAAGTGAACGACTCATTTCGAGCGTACTTTTGATAAGGACCGGTGGATGTCCTACATTCCACACTACCTGCCCACATCCCATCCACTTTTCTGCACAGGTGATCCACCCTGGAGCTCCTGCACCCTTAGCCCTTTGCGGAGGTGTCCTTTCTCCTGGTCCAGGACCGTTCCCTTGGGTCATGGCAGGCGGAAATGTGAAAACGTTTCAGGGTTTCTCACCCATTACACCAATATTTATCAGAAGTCTACTTTAAATGAGTCGATTACGTTCAGGCTTTTAAAGGAGGAATTCACGATTAGAATGAAGGTCGAAGAAAGGGAAACTGACCTAGTTGAGGGACCCACGGACCTCCTGAGGGTGCGAACTGACGCGCAATTCGCATGGAAAAATTTGACCTCGGCGACCTATCATGCCTCAAAGCTGGCGGGTCCGGCGATCTCCGCCCACCGATCATCTGATCACTCGCCGTAGTTCAATACGTGGCGAGTGATTAGATAGCTGAGAGAGCGTAGTGTTGAAGAGGGCACAGCGATGAGAGTCGCATCAATGCTCAAATCAACGGGCAAGGAAGGGGTCCCATTTCTCGGGTTCTGGGCCGTTTCTCATGGTTTTCCTTCTTTCGTGTACCACTCACCATCCCTAGGTTAATTTGAAATGGGTTGCTTTTTCATCGTGAATTCGTCCTTTAAATGAGTCGATTACGTGTCGTGAGCCCTCTAATCCTTATCTTGAGTATTGGAGAAAAAATGGAGTGCCCCCCCCCCGAACTGGAGTTTCACCCAATTCCGAATACTACGAATGCCATTGTGCAAAGTTCGATCTAAAAACAAGCACTCACGATCCACTCATCCAAGGAGGGTAGGTCCCATCCGCTCGTTTCATCGTCTTCAAATTGATGGTGGCTTTCTTCGCAGAATCCTGGGCCGAGTCATCCATCTGAACTATTTGAATGGTTGCGTTGTTTTAATTTTCTGTCCTGCAGAAAATGGTGAATAAGATAATTTGAAGAGACATTTACTCACCGTTTCCAGCTTGTCTGTGCCAGGAGCGTTTTTTGCAGCTTCTGCCTCTTTCGCTGTAAAACATAACGTACCGCCCAACGAAGACAACATTTCAGACATAAAGCAACCATTGTTTTTAGGGTCACACACTATTCCCAATATTTCTGTGCCTTTTGGAGCTGAGGGTAGCTACCACTTCTCCACTCTTATTCCACACGAATTGGAAACTACAAGGCTCACAATGTACCAAATGCAAGAGCTGGGTGAAAAGGAAGAAAATTTGACTGAAAAGCGATCTCTATACAACCAGTTTGGCTAACAAATCTTCAACAAAACCAGGTGTACTACTGAACTATGGAGATCTAGCCTTCCATCGCAAAACTTTCTGAAAGGAACACAAAAAAAGAAGAGAGCGAGGAGCAATAGAAACAGGCAGACATAAGCACTAAAGGGAAGCGTGTCGGGAAGTTCGACAAAAAATTTCCGGAATAAACCTATCAGCATTCAACGGGAAATTTATCAAAAAAAATTATTTTAATAGTTCGCTTGCTGTTGGGAAGTTGCAAGGAAATTTCAGCTCCACAGACAAGAAAAAGTGCAAGAGGAAAATGTCCCAAAGTCTAGACCTTATATTTCACCTGTACAACTCAATGGTTCCAAAATGGCTTTGAAAATATACTGCTCTATTGGCGCTAACACGTGAAGGAGATACTTAAGTTCAATGTTTAATTTTACCCTACGTGATGTGACTTCTGTCACATCACCTTTCAAGAGGAAAGAATTTCGCCCATGAGAAGCTTTGATTTCGGCAAGCCATGAGCATTCACAATAGTGTTAGGAATTGGTTTTCAAGCGATTCCACGGAACTGTGATATTTATCAAGATGAGCGGCAATTAGGAAAGTGACTGGTGCTTATTTACAGTATCGCAAAGTCAGGAGATATGAGTGGCACTTCCCATTCAATGAAGCGCCTAGCCAGCGTTACTTATACAGTGCGTTTTATAATTAAAAAGTCACTCT